TATAAATCAAACTGAATCATTTTCTTCTTTTTGTTTTCTGATGGTGTAAATTATAAATTAAAATCATCTTAAAATTCAATGTTAAATTCATCAGAATTCAATTCAGATTTTAACAGCATTTATACTAATACATTAGAAATATAGGAATATGTGTTTGTTTTGTTATTAGTTTTACCAATCATTTTTAATAAGTTAAATGGTTTTGTACACTTATCTTTAGTGAAGGTTAACAGTTGAGTTTAGGCTTTATTACTATGTAAAGATATTTTTAAAAATCTCAAATTGTATTATTGTACTTAAAAGCAAAGTTTGTTTTTAAATCAAAAATTGCAAACTTTCTTTACAAATTTTGTAAAATCTATAACAGTAAATATAAACCAACTTTTTATTCTCTTCCTGTTCCTCAATTGGATCCAGAATAATTTAGCATTAATAGGAAAATAGTAACATAATAATGTAGCACAAATCAGTTCATTTTGTAAAGCTTTTCAAACATTGCTCAACATTCTGAGTTAAAGAAAGGAAATATTCAACTATGCTAAAAGCTTTGAAGGATTTTAAGTTAAATCAGTTCTGTTAATGAAAGATTTAGTTAAGAATATGCTTGACTTAAATTAATATCTTAGCTTATGAACCTGAAAAGAGCTTATGTCTCAATGTCTATTTCAACCAGTGATCCATAAAATTCAATGAAATTTTACACAGGATTAAGAGATTTTTAAAAAATATTTGTAATAGCATTGCAAAAAGTTAAAAGTTATGGAGCACAATGGTTTGTTATAGAAAATATTGTCTATTGGCATCACTGATATTTATAAAAAAATATGCAAGAAAATCAGATGACAATAAGAAAAGAATTTGGGTCATCAAGTTGTTGGGATTTTTTTGGTTTTAATTTTGCTTATTGTTTTTTTTTCTTTTTGTTTTTTTTTTTTTGTTTTTTTTTTGTTTTTTTAAGAAATTTCACTGTTCAAGTTTCCTGTTACAAGAAAAAATGTTAAATAGTTTTGTGCAATGCTTCATGAAATTGTCAATTCTGTTTATAGTTTGATAGCAAAGCCTGTAGTTGATTTACATATGTATTTTTGAAGTAAAATTATTTTAATGCAAGTTTCTTAAATTTAACTTGTCCCAAATAAGAATGCCATGAAAATGTTATAATATTTATTGGTGGTTTCTGACAATATAACAATTTTTAAGTCATTAAGTCTTTTTTTGTTTTCTCATATCTTTACTTTATCATTTATTATTCCTTGTTTTGGGGAAATAGATTTACTGCTAACATAACTCATGACAGAGAAATGTTGAATGAGTTGTTTTTTATGGTGTGGGGAGTGTTGTAACAATAAAGTAAAACAAATGGTTACATCATTAATTTATATAATTGCTTTCTGGCATACCTGACTTTATTTTTACAAATATTTAAAGATTCTAAGCATCAAGAAAGCCTCTTATAAACTATTACTTAATTTCTATCTGTTTTCATTGGTAAAATCAAAACATTAAATATATCAATTAAAAAAATTGATGTATAAAATTCAATGGTCTCAGCCTGTCACACTTCCCAAAAATCTGACAAATGGATTAAATATCAGAATTTGGGAAACATTCTCTTTTTTGTTCTAGTAAGGCCAGTAAGTTTTCTTTTGTCTCTATCTCTGTTAAGATGGTGAAGCTGCATTAAGTATTTACTTTGTGTTAGTCATTTGGGCATTATCTTTCAAGGCAAGAAAACAAAATATGCTCATCATAGTGGTCATTATATAGGGAATAGTACAAATCACCAAGAACTTTTGTTATTGTTTATAATATTTATTTGCAGGAACTCTTCTTATATGAAAATAATTGTATTCTGAGACTAACCCAGCTCATGCACTCAATGCTTCCTTTAGTTTTCCCACTGGTGCTCTCTGTCAATTATCTGGACTTTATCTCAGAGAAAGAGTAATATGTACCTTTCTCACACCAGATATGATTTGCTAGATCAGATTTTTCCACCTCATGGAATTTAACACAATGTGATTTTCTTTGCAAAGTGGATGTCAGGAGGTTCTCATTTTGATGTAGTCCAATGGATATATTGATTATATATTTCTTTGCCAGTTGTTCTATCAGAAGTTTTCATTTTCTCAAAGATTATACCTAAAGAAGGTTGAAATGTGATGACAGCAGAAAAAATACAATGATATTTGATAATTCAAATAATATTAATGACTTTTCTAAACATTATAGACAATGGTATAATTATATTGAAATATGCAGTTGACATTTTGGAATGATATTTACTTTATTAATGCATAATTTTGTTTTGCTAAGGAGATAAACTTTTAAGGATGTATTGAAAAATCATATGATAAAGTATTTTCAGTATGCTTTTTATATGGCTAAACTTGAAAGCTGAGAGTTCACAAAAATAAAGTTACTTTAAAAAATATTTGGCTGTTTAGTGAGTTTAAAAAAACACACTTGAAAAAAGTAAATAGGTTTTGTAATTACAAAATTGGCTGTTTATGCAAAGAGCATTAAATAATTAAGTGGATGTGCAGGTGGTGTGATGGATAGCAGCTCAGAATGAGAAATCAGAGCAGAGTTTGAATTCCAGTCTAGTTCATTGTATTCACTTGCGTGCGAATATTCTTGGGAAAAGTATGAATCCATCTCTTTGCAATCCCCCAGTTATGGGTTAAATAGTAAGGCAAACTGAGCTCTTCAGCTTTGGGTGGCAACCAGTCTACAAAAAGGACAACTTGGAATTCAAAACCCTGACAAAGTATATACTATGCAACTAATGAAAGGAGTGTGGAGTTTACAATAATATTATCATCCTAACTGTGATCAGCTTTGATTGATTGATTTTGATTTAAATATTTTATTTAAAATTAGTAATCTGCAGAAGTCAGTATTTCTTGGGTATTTTATAAAATAAATAAATTTAATAATCTTTACAATATTAAAAACAAAATAATTTCTTATTAGAAGGGACGGTTCAAGAATTTTTTTCCAATGAGGTAATTTGATTTTTTGGGTTGCTCATATATTGATAATTTATGCAAAAAGAAAAAGAAAGAAGAAAAAAAAAGACTGAATTTGATTCAACTAGTGTTTACCATTTTGTTTAATTTTTCAGTGCATCTGATATATATATAAAATTGGACAATTTACAAGTGTTTCTTCCTTATTTCATCTCTGCGCAGCCAACTAACAATTGATATGTGTACATAAAATATATTGCTTGTTGAATATGCTAACAGAAATTTTCTTCTCTGTTCCATCAGTCTGTTGTTCTCTTCTACATTTGTTCTCTTCTTCTACTGCTGCCACTAGCAAGTATTGATCTGCTTCCACGTGGCTGACATGATCTTTAACCATACCTACCCCTCAACACTGACTTTACTACTTTCTTTTACCCTCACTTTTATTCATTTTTGTTTTTGATATTTTTCTCTTTTTCTTTCTCTTGTTTTCTCTTCTTTTTCTTTCTCCCATAGTCTTCTGTTTTCGCTTTTCTACTTTCTTTTAACTTCTTAAATTTTTTCCATTATTTATTGTCTCATCTTGCTGTATAAATGCCTTTTTATTTTATTCATTATCTCAAATTTATCAGCTTATTTCTGCCCTTTCCATTTGCTTATTCTCTCTTTTACCCCATGTAGTTAAAGAATCATTTTCTAATGAATTGGTATTTTAATGTGAAATTTGAAATGTTTGCAATTCTAAAACTATGCCTATTAGCACTGCTTAAAATAATAAGTTTGGTACTGTTAGTTTTTATATATTAATGCATAACTTCTTTTTATCAATGATGATTAGTGAGGTTAATAATGACTTGTGTTGGTTTTTACTGATAAGGGGAGGATTTTCTATAAGAAAGAAATGAATTTGAAAACAAGATTTTGCATGGTGGTCTATACATAGCTAAAATATAAACAATAAATATCAACAGTAAAATATGTTTAGTGCATGACATGAAAAATTCCTTGTAAAAAAATTTTTTTTCTATAATTTTAAAATATTATAACATTGTACTGGATAGTAAATTCATGCTACTCTAGTTTTTTAGTGAATTTTGGGTAAATATAAATTGCTAATTTTTTTACAAAATTTAAGCTAAAAACTTAACTTTTAACACAAGACATGACTTTCAAATCAGTTCAAAATGTGCTTTAAAATTTTAGCTATCTTTCATAGTTTGATTTTAAATGTAAAACCATTAATATTGACCTTTTTTTTAATTGATTTAGTTTGGTAATTTCAAATGAACCAATTACTTACTCTGAATAAGAAATATTCTCTTCATCAGCCTAAATTGTCTGAATCTAGTTTATCACTATGCTTCTTGCTGGAATATCAATATCACTTTTTTCCTACTTTGAGTACATATACCTAAAAGTAACAATGATAATTTTTGGCAGTTATTCAGTAAATCTCAATAAAACATCTTGAAACCATTTATTTGAATTTAAATATTGTTTCTGCCTCTGGAAGTGCATAATAGATTCCATTTCCTGTAGACCTTTTCTAAGTGATAGATCAACAGAGAATTATATACAAGAATCTCTACTTAATTGGTCTTTTGTTCAGTTGTACATTGCCAGACGAAAGAAATATAACCTGGAAATTATACAATGGTTTCTTGAAAATAAAAATTTTTCTCAAAAGTTTATTAGTGGAACTCTGAAATCTTTGCTCAAAAAACTTGTACTCTAATAATAGACCATGATTATTATTAGTATAGCAACAATAATAAACATAATAGATGGCCTAAATAAAAAACAGCTGTGCATTTTAAGCAATTACCTTATTTACTTTTTATGTTAATTGTGTCATTGTTAAATTGCCTTTTTTTTTTCTCTGCTTGATTTGAAAACCTAAGACAAGCAGCTAATTTTGCATATTTACAATAGTATGATCAAGTTTTATTCATTCACTTGTAGTGACTAGAAACTAATAACAATACTAGGTTTTTATTAATTAAATCACTTTTTAACAGGACATTATCAATGTTCCTTCTTATGGTTTGATAAGTAATTTACTAATATTCCAAGCAGCTATACAACTTAAGCACTTGATTTATTAATCACATTCAATAGCAGTTCTTTTTATTTTATATGCTTATGCTTGGAGATGATGATGATGATAAAAGGAATATATTAGCTAAAAGTAATCATTATTAAATAATCTTAAATATCTTCAGGTTATCTTAATCAGAATTGTTTATATTGTTTTATTTTGCTTTGTTTATTCAATTATTCACTTTATAAAAATCCTGAAAACAATGTATTTAAATTAAGATTCACCAAATAAATATAAGTATAGTGAAATTTAACAGTATTTATTTTAGATAAAAAATTATAAACTGTTTATCTCAATTTTATATTTTGAAGTTTTTTAGTTTAAAAGAAACATAACTTCAAGAAATGTAATTTATTTATCGCATTTTAGTTGATTAATTTGCAACAGCAATGTTTTTTCTATTCTTGGTTTGATAAAAAATATCAAATACTACTTTGTACACAGTGGATATTGCCAGAACAACCTATTTATTACAAAATGTAATAGGTCAGATTTAAAATACATGGTTATATGTTGAATAGAGAGTAATATGAAGTCTGCTTTTACTTTTGAGTATGACTTTTCAAAGAATCTTTGCTTAAAACATTTCCATTTTCATTCAACATAAGTTTAAAGAAAAAAATATTGAGAGCACATTGAGGATTATATAGTCTATGATTCATTACATATTGATCTTTAGATGTAACTCATCAACCAGATAGGTTTCCTTTTACATTTGCAAGAATATGTTTGGGATTAATAATGTATTTCATTAAAATGTTTATAAATACTTTTCAAAAATTATAGTCTATTTTTCAAGACAATTGTCTCAAAATTGCTTTACACTGAACTCATAATGAACATTAAATGGAAAAATTCATTAAAAATCATATTAAAATGACATTTATACCTAAACCCAATTTCCAATCTATCAAATAGAAATTTATTTGATATAAATTGAGTTTTTGTCTTTTAATTGTAATGAGTCAATATTTTCCATTTTGTTGCCAGTTGTTGGTTCCAATCAAATAGGAATAACTGCAAAAACACCCCCCTACCCTTGCTATATTTATAGATAACTCAGACAGATGGGATTTCTTCCTAACCAATAAAATGAACCACTTCTCGATCTCATCTGCCATATTTTTGTTCTTTCTCGTCTTGAAGTCAGAACACTACAATCATTTGACTGTATCTCGTGTTTGTTAACACCATTCTTATTTTGTGAACTTTTTTGCCTTTTTACTGTTGTTTTGCCTAGTTTTTACTTATATATATATTGTTTGCATAGTATTGTGCCCTCTACATTGTTATTGTTTATTGGAAATTTAGTCAATCCTCTTTGTAGGGCATTTTTGCCCATTGCACCTGACCATGGAGAATTACACTATACACTTAGGTATGAAATACCAGAGAAATTCGACTCTTAAAAAATGGAAAATTTCACCTCTTTGTAGAGTAATGTCTTGTCTTTAATAATCAGTTGGTTTCATATCTCTGCACCTGTACAACTCAAGGCGCACAGAAATCAAAAAGAGGATATGCTATATTTATTTCATGTAAAACAGTTGTCTGATGCACTGAAATTTGTATTAATAACCGAGTTATAAACATCACCAGCTGAAATCCATTTTAAATCATGTTTCAGCAATGGATATTATGCTGTTTAAAACTTTTTCTTATATTTTTGTTAATGGTGCATTTTAAAATACTTACACTGTATAAAGTACTTATTCATTGTATTTTGTCCAAACTGTCATGCTTAACTTACTTTTGCCTCAGCTGTTATTTTTATGCATTTTCTTAAAAAACACTAAACAGAATTCCTATTATGAAAAAAAAAAAATAAATATATAAACTGGATATATTCTTAGTCTTTAATTTCACCCTCTCATTTGTCAAAAAATATTTAAATAAATTTTTTTAAAGTGTCCAGTTTTCCTTTTAATGGCCATTCATTTCATTCAGGATTAAATTGAATATTTATTTACATTTTCTTTTCAAAAAATGAAACTGGATACATTTTATAAAAAAAATAAAATGTACTAGATAAGTTAAATGTAATTCATAATTTTTAAAATGTAATCAGTTTATTGTTACATTTTGTTTTAAAAAAAAAAAACAAAAAAAACGAATATATTTTATAGTTCTTTCAGTTTCAAAAAACATGCATTGTCTCTTCATAATTTCTTTTCTTTTTTTAAGCCATTATCATAATGATGTTATGCCATGTCTAATGGATGTCAGTTATCTCCTGTTAATTCCCCTCTCATAATTCTCCACCGCCTTAACCAGGTATTGAACTCACACTCTTTGGGTCCTGTCACTGGATCTAAATATGCCTCTATCCACTGTGCTATGTGTCCTTGAGGACATGGCACAGTGGAACTAGAACAGTCTACCCCAGTGAGCAAAATAAAGGGTTCAGTTCAACATTCCAACCACCTGAAGGAGGCCGGAGTGTACAATGGCCCAAAACATTGTGATAAACATAGCGACAAAGATGAGAACAATAGTTCAAATAATGTAAATAGTGTACATAATACCTCATCTCAGAAATATAGACAGATCCTCATCTTTGTTGTTATTCAGACAGAATGCAGTTACATAAAGTATTCTTGGTTAAGAACTGAATGACAATTAAACATGGGCATGAGTTATAATTATGTACTGAGAGAGAAATGCTGAATTTTCAATTTTATGTTTTAATTCATCAGATGTGCCTAGATGTATAATCTAGCTGATCTCATGCAGTTTCCTTGTGTTTTTTGTTTCTACATAAATATAACCAATGTTCTCCCCTCTACCTTCTATATATATATATATATATATATATATATATTATTTTTGTTCAATCAAGTCCTTCTTTTCAAACTTAAACTGAAATTTTATTCTTAGAATTAAAAAAAAAAAAAAAAAGTCTGATGGGGGCGGGTATTTGTGTGTGTGTATCTCCTTTTTCATCATCATCATCATCATCGGACCATAGTCAGGATCATCGAGCCAATAGAACAATCTTTTCTTTAACTGTATAGTATGTGCTATGCCAGGGCAACATACAGTTTTGCATTCAGAGTTATTTTCTCCTAGACCAATTGCCATCCAAGTCTATCCTGCTATTTACCCATATCTGGGGTTAAGAAGAGGATTCATACATTTCCAAGGGTATTAGCACACATGTAAGCCAATGTAATGGATTCAACTGGAATTTAAACTCTGCTCTCAGATTCCTCAATCTGAGCTGCTATCCATTACTCCACTGTGTCTCCTTTTTTTCCCTTTTCTCCCCACCCATCATTTAAAAAAAAAAAAACAATACTAGTATACATAAATACTGTAAATGAATTTTTTTTTTAATCAAATACTTTTTTCAATGTCTGCAGCATTTATTCCTAATCATACCTTTCCCAAAGGCATTAATACAGAATGAACACATTATCGCTGCAGACCAAGTTTAATTTCGCTTGCTTATTTTATTTTCCATGTTGCTAACCTCATAGCCACTGGCATCCCCATTAATATTTATTTTAGAAATAGATGTTTACCTAGACACCAGTTTATGCAATGTCACATAAAAAGATGCCCCTTTTTACAGTTTAACTAGAAATAGCAATTTGCAGCATTAATTGATCTCTAGTAGCAACAGAAGTCAGCATCATCTATCCCAAGTTTATCCCAAAGTCAAGCTACCTTTACAGATTAATTTTCAGTTTCCAAATTGATTGGTCATAAAATGCATGCAGAAGCAGTATTAGAATAGTTATATGAAAACTTAACATCATAATATCAAGTAATTATAAAATAAAAATGTTGATACCAATTTATTAATGGTTTATTTATCTAAGGCTCTTTAGACAAATTTTCAAGATTAATGTGCACTTTTAATCATAGTTGTATGCTTCATTACAAAAATGTAAATACACATTGATGCCAGTAACAATTTTTTTTTTTTTAAACCTTAGAAATATGTGCAAACAATATTTTAACATTGGAATATACATAATGATTTTAAATCAAAAGATTGATAGAAGAAAAGCTTTTAAAAACATAAGCTGTATTGAAAAATTGATATCAGAAGAAATAAATTTGCCCTAAAATTAATGATTTGTGCTTTTGTAAAATTGCATGGAGATTCCACTAGTAATACACACTGCATTTCTAAAAAGATTTAAATAGTAACAAACAGTTCCAATAATTTGTATTTGTATTGTTACCATTTGAATATTCAAAAATTAATGAGATCATTTAAATTGTATTCAGACCAAAAGTTGTCTATTATTATTTATTAAGATCATAAATTTATGCTGCAATTTTTGAGAAGAGGAGGAGGAGGAGGTGGAGGAATAATAATAATGATCCCCCTTCCTTCCTCCTTGGTTGTTATACTCACCAAATTTCAGCTGTTGTACTCTCTGGCCATCTTCAGGTATTTGTCATTATACTTGGTAACCTTCACAGACTTTTAAGCACATCTCTATATCCAATCCATGTGGGTGAATTGTTTTCATTTGTCTTCCCATGATTAGAGGAGATAACTTGTTAATACTACTCAGTATAATTTGCTTTTTGTGTTGCTTGTCCATTTTTTCACTGAACTAGAGTATATGACTTTTCTGCACTACCTAGCTCATGGATTGAACTCACAACTGCCAGGCAACCAGATATGTTTTAATCAGTGCCTTAATCCACTAGGTCATGTGTGGTGAAACTAACTGATGTAAGATTCCCTAAGTATGGAAAGCAGAATGAGAACAAACTTTCTCATTGATTGAATAAAATCTTGGTTCAAAATTCCAAGACTGTTACAAAGTATGACAGACACTTGAAGAAGACTGAAGAGTATAACAACTAAGATTAGGATATTAGTTCAAATGTAAAGGAATATAATAATCTATTAAGTAGATACTTTCACTAATTCAGTATACATAAGATCTAAAATGATATTTTTGGTAAGATTGGATCTGATTTTGCAAAAATAATTGGGTGATTTAAATTCTTCAGAGAATTCAGCTTTGAATTATTACAGTCACTAAAAATGATCTTGTTGAATTTCTTAAATTTTCATAAAATTAAGTAAGGGGGAGAAATACATGAAAAATAAAAAATATTTTACTAAGATTTTATAATAATAAAAAAAATTTTAAATAATTTCATTCATTTGTGAATAAGTCCTGAAAATTTCATTAGAATCTTATTTGATTTTTGCAAGAATTTCCAGATTAATGTCACCACAAAAAAAGAGGTGAAAATTTGCTATGCTAAAAGTTAGTGCAACTGCTAACGCAAGAAAAACAAGTTTTTTAATCAAAATTTTGAATATTCTAAAAGGGAGTAAAAACTTTAATCAAATAATCAAAAAATACTTTGATCCTTCCTCTTAATAATAACATAAAGATTTTGAGGATAAAACTATGTTTTCATTATGGTATGCTATTTATTTCATTTTCGTAGAGGTACCTATATTAAGCTCATGTTTTTGAATGCAGCAAGAATATTTGATATCAACAAAATGCTTTAGAAGAATCATTCATAATTTTTAATATTTTCATATAATGAAGTAATAAGTAGCATTTTCTGACTTGTACCTATTTTATTATCTCTGCTTTGTTACTATTCAAGGTCTTTTATACAATAATAACAGATAAAAAAAGACTAATAATTTTGTTTCTAGTAATTATTTAGATTATATCAAACCAAAATCTCTAATTCTTATTTCTAATGATTATTTCACCATTTTTATCTTCAATTTAAAGCTGTTTTCACCCATTTTACTTTTGCTGTTGATAATATCAAATGCTAAAAATATGTTTGAATTCAAGACTTTTCAATAATTGATAAATTTCAAAATAGATAACAATATTGTTTAGTACTAGATTATATTGTATGTAAAAACTACACTGTTTGAATTTTTTTTTATCCATTTAATCTAATATAATTATAAATTATATGAAAAAAATTTTTTTTCTCTAAATATGTGCTGGTTGGAACATGGCATTGCCTTCCTGTTTTATGAATGGCAGCAATATATATAGTGCTATTCTACAAGCACTAAAAGCAAACAAGAATTATAACTTATGACATCCACATCATGACATTATGTTTGCTGTGATATCATGTGTGTGGGTGCTATGCAGTCTGCCATTGATGACAGCACAATACATTGTACAAATGTTTACCAAGATCAATGTGGCTCTCCAAAACCTTCTCTACATGTGTAAAAATGTTCATTTGACCTCTGTTGCCAACATCAAAGTGCTACTAATGTGTCTCATCCAAAATGACCATCCAGGCCAGGCAAATGCCCACAATCCAATTGAACAAAATGACACTGGTTTGCACTAGACTCTTTCACTGCACACATTCTTGCATATGTAATTGTCTAAAGTTCAGATAGAAAAGAGATACTTGTATAATTTTTAATGTGTTACAAAATGGACAAAGACTTTAAAAATTTTATCAGAATATTTACAACCCACAAGCATGCACATAACCAAGCACAAGTGTGCACTTTAACCAGATCAATAACAGTATCATCCTCCAGGATGTTGCCATTTTATTTCCCATCCATATATTAGTTAAATGTTCCTAGTTTTAATGACTGCTTATGGAGTGCAATACAAATCCTCTTCTCATAGGTTTTGAAATAAATAACAGCTCTGCTTTTATGAGTCATTTGTACCTTAATATATTAACATCTTTTACCAGTTTTGTTTGTTACTACCTTTAAAATGTATTCAAAAGTTATTATCCTCGCAGTTTTATTTTTTTAATCTTTGTTTTTTATTTCTTTTTACAGATCATAGGTTTACTAAATGCATTCACACCACAGAAAACATTAGAAGACTTTCAAGATGTGTAAGTATATATTTTCTGTATTTATACTGATACTGTTCTTTATCATTGCACTTGATTTTATAGATTTATAATTCAGTGTGTGCACTTGTAAACAATTGGAGAACTTATTTTATCAAATATTTTATAAACTTTAATGATAGCATACAGCAAAGGAGATTGTCCAATTTGCTTCAACTTAATATTTGAAAATGTTAACAATTGCAATTCTTATATTAAATATGTTACCATCTAATAAATAATAATAGTAATAATAGAATTCTACAATATGTTTTTTAAAAAAAATTATATTTAAATTACAGTTACTCAGAAAATCCACCATATTCCCTTATTCCTTTACAGTTGTTACTCAATAGTATTTAGTCTTAACATTTCTAAAATAGATAGAAATTCTCGTAGTTTATCATCACTGTTGAATTTGATGATAGTAATCATTCTTTATTATAATCTTTCACGAATAGAATTTCTCATGATAATAAAACAAAAATGATTAAATTTTAGACAAGGACTTTTTTGTTCTCTTTTTTTTCATCTTCCTTTGTTTTTTGTTTAATTTTTTTCCTCATTTTAAATCATTTGCAATTGTACTGTATTTTATTTTCTTTTATTTTGTGAGCCCCCCTCCCCCACCTATAAAGATATTGTTCAGCAAATTATTATGAGTGCCCAACACTGAAATGTTGGTTCTGTTCAGTGTGCTTATTTGTGTAGTGCTACACTGAAATTAGTTGTTTTTTTAATACATTAAATCATTTTTCCTGTACTTGACATATTTCTCCACTTTTCTTCACTTGACATATTTCACTATTGTTTTCCAAGTTCCTTCATATAACACCCAAAAATTGTCATCAGACAAAAATAGAAAATTAATTTTCGTTTTATAAATGTTTCTGTCTAAAATTTTAGTTTACTGTCATTACTTCATTAAAAAAATAGATTATTAGTTTGAATGCTAATTTGGTTATCAATTTGAATGCTAATCTAGTTATTGATTGGGACACTAATTTGGTTATTGGTTGGGACACTAATTTGGTTATTGATTGGACCAGTAAATTTACATATTAGTTAGAATTCCAATTTGTTTTGTGGCTGGAATACTAATTTGGTTATTACTTAAAGAATAACTTGGCATAATTTGAAGTATTTATCCTAAAACGTACAAATTTTTCAAAATATTTCTGTTTGTTAATTTAAATAACTATTCAAAGTCTAGTTACAGGAATATAGTTTTTTTGGGTTTTTTTTTTTTTTTTTTAAATCTTGGCATAGTATTTCATAGAAATGTAAAAAAAAAAAAGTGTTTGTTTTTGTTGTTGTTATTTTGGGGGTTTTTTTTTATAGTCATTCACTACCAGGGAGTAAATAAATATTTAAAAGCACTAGGTTATCCATAATTTGTTAAATCAATATTGAAATATTCAAAAGAATTTATTTTGATTGCTGAATTAAGCTTACCTGTCCAATACTCTTTCATTCATCTTTTTGTTCAGTTTTGGAATACTAAGCTTTATTTATTGATCATATTTTGTTATCATTTGCTTTGAAATCTTTTTTTCTTTTTTTAGATGGTAATATTTCACTTTTCTAACACTGCTATTATTCTCAAGTAACAAAAAATAGATGAAAATGTTTTGTTTTTTGGGGTTTTTTTTTTTTTATTTTACTCTTTTAAGGTCTCTATCCAAAATTCTTTGTTATAATCATTGCTTTAAATATGAAGCATATTTTAAACTTCAGGACACAGCATATATTTATGTAACTCACTCACACATATATAGTCAACAAATCTACTTAGAAGAGAATTCTGTAGATTCTATCTTTGAAAATGTTGTACCTATCTTATGTTGAATTACATTTTGTGACTTTAAAATTTTTACAAGGTGAAAATTAAATGTGTGTTAGGCCACTAAACTCCACAGTTCTTCTCAATAAATATACCATTTTGTATATCCATATTGGAAATATTGCTTTTGTTGCATTTTTGTTGTCTGAATCAGTGGAGCCAGTTTCATTTTCAGAATTATAGTTTTGTATTTTTATGATCACAAGTTTTCTTTTCTCAATATTCAATTGAAATAAGTATAAAGAAAAATCCTGAACAAACCTTAGTATTCATGGATAAATAAATATATATCTGATAAAATAGATAAATTGTTATTACTTATATTTTACTTCATTATTATTATACAGACAGTGCTAAACTATGTAAATTTGAAATGAAAAGCTTTGAATAGATTTTATCATTTTTCCCTTTCTTTATTTAGAATATATAAAATTGATTCAAATTTCTATTCAATAAATCAAGTTTACTGTTGGCTTTTACAATAAGGAATCACTAAAGATTTCTTTACTCATCTTAAACCATGCTTTGATCATCTAATAAGTCAGCTCTCTTTGTGTATCAGTGTTTTTTAGTCATGAAGATACAGTATATATCTAAGGTAGTACCTAATTGATTGTCTATGTACAAAACAAACTATGCTAAAGACATCTCAAGGACTTTGAAATCTCAAGATCTTGTCAATCTTTCAAAGAATACTCTTTATATGAAGAAATTGTCTGTGATAAATTATTGATCTATTCTTTTATTGCTTGCTGATGTGATGTTTTCTTGTTTAATTTTAATTCAGAAAAAATGTAGTTACTAAGACATTATGTCTGATTATTCATCTATAATGTCAAATGAAAAATATGCTTCTTACAGTAGAGTAAATGAGAAATATGGTAGATTTACAAGTGTGTATCAGTTGGTGTATTCTGCAGAAGATATATTTACTTCAATGACAATATAGCCATCATAATAATGAAATACAGATACATTAGTATGGAATTATATATGGATATGTACTTGTTGTACAAGGTATTTAATAAAAAGCATTTTAGCTCTCCATAGTATCACTATCACAAAACCATAACAACTACTATTTCACTTTTTCTTTTTAAGTTTTACTCTTAGATGTCCAGTGTTAAAACACTAAATTTTCCAATACTAAAGAAATACTCACATGTATACAAGTGCTGACATTTTAAATCATATATACTGTGTGTCCTGGGTAAGACGATAAACTACATCCAACAGCAAGGCCTCTGATCAGGAGGTTTTGATGAGCGTGGAACCACCTCTTAATTGCTGATGTTCCCAGGTCCATTCTGACCTGGGGTGGTAGCATCTGTTAGGGTCTCAGCTGTGGGCAAATAGTTAACCCCCAAACTGGGGTTAAAACACTATGAAAGTGTAAAAATGGGTTTTAATAACAGCAATACATTTTTGTAAAAAAATTTTAAAAAATTATTACCAGCAATGAATTTTTGAAGGAAAAAAATATTACCAGCAATACATTTTTGAACAAAAGTATTACCAGCAATAAAAATCTTGTCAGCATTAAATAAGCCATTCAGGTTGATTTGCTGTAAAACAATCCAAACCAAAACCAATCATATATACTGTAAAATAAAAATTGTTTAAATTCATGTTTATGAATAGGTTTTTAAAGATACTTATATAATTCAAATGATTGAGAGCAATGTCAATAAGTTCTTAAAAATATGGCATTAAATTTGAAGAAATTTGGAAAATGCTATTTTAAATTTAAATAGACATGGTTACACACTGGAATCTTCCCACTTATCAAAACACCAAATTTACTTAGAATGCCATTCTTGTACAGTGACAATTATAATACAACAAAATATATATAAAAAACTGTTTTCACTACTACTACTACTAATAATAATAATATGGAATTTCTGAGACATAAAGTATTTTTGTATTCAAGATACGGTTGTATTTATTTTTGTTTTTCCAAACTTACCTAGTTAGTATCTAACCAAGTTAGACTTTAAAACAAAATAGCCAGAAGTATTACAAAACCTGAGCCACATATATTTTCCTTTGTAATTTAAAATTATGTTAGTATGATGCCAGAATACATATTGCATACAATTCACACCAAACCATTAAAGAGGCCAAGTGCACCAGGGATTGATCTGAGATCACTCTTGGCTACCAAATGGAGATGTGCATGATTTCTCGCCTGCATCCAGTTTCCAATTTGTGGGGAAAATTCTTAATACATGCAGTTATAAACAAGCACTATGAGAGAGGATTTAGGCAGTTTCTCACACATCATAGATATTATATAGAATCCCTGTATTCAACCAGGAGTCCCATGGGTCATGTATAAGCATACTAGCCAGTGGGAAATTATAAAATCAAGAGTTGAATAAAATATAAAGTTAAGTAACAAAAGATTCAAATCTCATGTTATTTTGCCAATACATTCACTTATTACTTGATGAGAAATTTAAAATATTAATTGTGATTTTTAAAAAGAATCTTTCATATCTACTTTCTTTGCTATTGTCCTCTGTATATCAAAGAATCTAGCATGTTTATTTTGTTTTGTTTTTTAAGAAATGGATGGTACAAACTGGTTTTTAAACTTCACAATCTTGTTACAAATCCATATGTCATATAAACAATAAAAAGAAGTAGCTTTTACTGCTTAATTTGCACTAATAATTCTATATAAGCACTAAAAATATGTACTACTTATTCAAGCAATATTGCTAATCTGAATTTTTGGTACATTGCAAAATAAATTCATGAAGTTCTTAATGTTTTTTTCAATTTGAAGTAGCAATCATTTAAATTCATGAAACTGTATATCTTTCAAGGCCTCTTGTGTTTATATTATCAAGAGGCCCTAATCAACTCTTAATTGGTTAAGCATCTCACATTGCAAGGCCTTCTTTCAAACAAACAATAGGTTTTCACTTCTCTAGGTCAATTGCTGATGTATTAATGATTATTGCTGAAAGAGTCTATCAAGCTTTAGATAAGAAGGGGGAAACTCAGGTTGTTGTCTTGAACATCTCGAAAGCATTTGACAGGATTTGACATACTGGTTTTGGACTTAAATTGTTCCTAATAAAGGACTCATTGCACCTTCTCAAACTAATGTTTTCTGCTGACGTGAAGTAAAATGATTATATTGAATCAA